GGGGGGCCATACCCGGCGGCGTGCCCCGACAAGGGGCTGGCTGCTGAATTTTTCCGCCGCCAGCCGGAAGGGGAACGGTGTGCTCAGCGGAGCCGACGAGCCAGGGGTCGAGATCCGCCGAAGGTGCGGTCTCAGATGGCGTGGGGGGCTCCGAACGAAAAAAAAGAGAAACCCAGCGAGGGCGACCAGCCGCCGGGGGTCGGCGTGTCCAGCCAACACGCTTTCGGCAGTTCGGGCGGCCCTTTCCAGGCGGGGGACGAACATACGGAAAAGCGGGCGCCACTGGGCGTCAGGGGGCCCGCCCGGGCTGGGGGCCCCGAGGCGTGGGAGGGCGGGGCGGGGCCGGGCGGCATGGCCGAGAAGGTTGGCAGCGCCTCAGGGGCCCGTGGCTCGGCGGGCGGGTGTGTGGGCTGACCGCCGGCATCACATGCCGTGTTCTCGCTGTGAAATGCCCCGCTCGTGACACGGCCCGTGATCCTGACGACTGCCAACGCTTGTGCGAGTGCCACAGCCTCGGTATATAAGGCGGCGGCCCTCGCCCTGTGTCCACCGATGCGCCTGCATCGCTGCCGATTGCATATTTTCCCTTGCATCCACCAGAGACATACACACGTTGCCGTTCATCCACGCGTTGCCCGATCCCCTACCCGGGGACCACACCGCTGCGCTTCACTTAGGCAGCGATCGTACTCTGCCACATACATTGTGGCCGACCGGGATACTAGCTGAGATGTCGCTCCCCAACTTCACCTTCCGACGCGACACCGAGGAGTCCGCCGTGAAGGGACCGCAGGCCACCCTCATCCGCTTTGGCGACGTGGAGATCCATGCCAGCGCGGCTCACTTCGAGATGCCCGAGGTGGATGATGCCTGTGCCCTTCTCTCCATCATCCTACAGTACGCTGCTGACCCGTCGCAGGACATTGGGACCCTGCCGGGTCTGTGGAGGCCCCGGATCCAGGAAGAGCCGAGAGTGCTGATCGTCCATGCGGTATTCGCCCTGGTGGTCAGCATGAACCAAGCGAACCGTCTGTTCACGAGTGATCGATTTGCCGACGCGTACGTCACACTTTTCCTTTCCTCCAGCACCCTAATTCAAGCTTTTCGGAACAGGGTGCCAGGCTCGCGGCGAGCCTCAGATGCGGAGATTGCCAGGATCTGCATCACTCCGGACCTCTCCCAGCAATTCCAGGACTCCATCTTTGGTCCCTCAGCGCTGGAGGGCATGCGAGAGATGGCCTTGGAGTTCTTGCCAAGCAACCAGAAGCGCCACGAAGTGGCGACGCGGGCTGCCGAGCGCTATGGGGAGCAGTACTACCCCGTAGTCGTGGATCTTTTGCGGAAAGGTGAGCCAATCTTTCCGGGCGCGCAGCTGCTGCTGAAGGATCCCGAGGTTGTTTCGGCATTCTCCGAGCTCTGGGAGGACCCCGGCAAGAGGCCCGGCCCCGGGGTCACCATGGGCACGGCCGAAATGGCCGGGGCTGCCATGGATCTCCCCGACGAGAAGAGTCCGCTCTATCTTGCCCAGCAGGAGGCTCGCAGTCTCCTGCGGCCGCCTGGCGGCCCTTCGACGGTCAGGCGTTTGAACATCACTCCCGAGAACGTTGGAAAGTTCTTGAAGGCGCTGACGCCCGCCCCGAAGGAGGCCAAGCGCGAAACTCCCATCCGAGTCGTGGGACTCAAACTACCCTCAGACCTCCACGAGCCTGGCCGGCTGGCTCTGCGCCAATTCATGCTCAACTTCATGTTGCTCAACGGGGTCCTGCAGGCTTGGACCACGGAGGAGGTGTTCTCCCTGCTGGAGGAATTGACTCACCACGACATTCCTGAGAATGTTCCCGAAGCCACGATCGTCATGCAAGCCTACCTGGGCTCGATCGTCCGCTGCTCCCACCAGAAGATTCTCAACTATGCACTGCGCAGATGGGGCGCCCTGATGGCCAGCCCGTCACTGGTAGTCGAACTGACTGCGTGGTGCATCGGCGCGGCCGGACTGGACCTCACTAAGGAGCAAGTGGTCGAGGAGCTGCATGACTACTTTGACCGGGAGGAGGTGTCTCTCGCGATGATGCTTGCCGGGTACGACTTTCTAGACCCGGCGGGTCCGAAGGACATCGACCCCAGGCTCGATCGGGTCGACATTCGCCAGCGCGCGGACGCAAACCGCGCGAAGGAACTCCGGGCTATGTTCCAGAAGGCATCGGTTTCTGGAAGATTCCACGAGCTGCGCCGACACATTGTCCGGCTCGACATTGAGGAGCCCACGGGTCCCCGATCGGTCGCCACACGGAGCCAGGGAGCTCCGGGCGCCAGGACCGAAGGGTGGAGGAACGGGCCGGGGGGCGTGCGCTCTCGTAGGCGGTCTCGCTCGCCTGACCCCCCTTCACAGGCATCCCAGCGCCCCCGCCGGGATGACGAGGATTCGGGAGCACCTGGCAAGCTCCCCCCCATCGAGCCGTCCGCTGATAACACTGGGAACAACTCCCACTCGGATGGTCCCATGCAATGCGTGGCGATCGACTTTACCGAGTTCCGGATCAAACAGGACCCAAGGAAGAAACTCAAGTGCCTGATCGTCGTGGATGTCCTGACTCGCTATGTCATGGCTATCCCGTTTGAAGGCCGCATCACCTCTCGGATGGTCAAGGAGAGACTCCTGGAGGAAGTGATCGCCCCCTTCTCTCCGCGAGTCCTCATCTCTGACAACGATGCTCTCTTCACCTCGGTAGAGTTCATATCATTCCTCATGGGACAAGACATCGTACATGTACGCTCGGCAGCGTGTAGGGCGCCATCCAATGGCACGGCAGAGGGGGGAATCCGCTCTATTGAGGCAAAGCTCGCAACCATCGTGGCAGAGGATGACACCATCGACATCGAGGAAGCCATCTCTCGAGCAGTGCAGGCGCACAATGCGTGCCCGACCTCGCTGGGGCTCAGCCCTCACCTCCTGGTCCATGGGAAGCATGATGCCACTTCCCCAATGTCCCTGCTCCCCTAAAACCAAGAGCTCGCCCCGGAGGTTCTCTCGTAGAAGTAAAGAAGCGCCTCGAGAAGGAGGCAGGGAAAGGCATTGAGGGGCCCGCACGGCCAAGACGCGCAGGCACGACATCCGCCCAGGAGACTGGGTGGTTCCTCTGCCCACTCTGATCGGGACAAGACGCCAAATAAGCAGCCAGGCTTGAAGGCGCACACGATGTTCCGAGCGGAATGCCCGAAATCCAACAACGTCATCGAACTTGAGGGCAAGCCTCAAGGGTGGAAACGTCTGCCATGCAGACGATATGAGAATCCCCCCTCGAAAGACTCGGGAGCTGGACACTCTGAAACACTCCGGTTCTGATGCGTGATTCTGAGGGACCGATGAGGGCCCCCGCTGAACCACCCAGCGCCTTCCCTCCCGAGAGGGTCACCACTCGGACGTGGACACAACAACAAAAGAAAGGAAAGCTGGTGATCTGCGTCTTTATGGGGAGTACATCAGGGACCGGGTCACACCGCTCCAGGGGGAGCGACGTACAGAGGCAGGGCAGCGGGAAGTCAAGGCCTCCGTAAAGAGAATGACTATCCTTCAAGGTGCTGAGCCCTTGGAGGGGAGGCGGGAAAGGGGGGTCCTTATATAGGGGTGCCCAGGAAAGAGGCAATACATGGGAAAGAGAGGGGATGGGTTGCATGGTTGACGGACGACGCCAACGCCCACCTACGGGGAAAGGAAGGTAAAAAATGGATCTCCCGGCTATTTGATCACGTAGAGGGCGCGACCAGATTTGGCGGGGAGGCGACAGCAGGGCGAGGTGAGGCAGGCGCGGAGGAGGTGAGCGGAGCGAAGTTCGGACGCGGCGCCGGCGGTGACGATATGGCTGCACAAAGTCACTTGAGGTTGAAACGCTCGGACTGATTCACCGAGACTTGTTCTCCGATATGGAGATCACGCCTCGGAAGAAAGCATTTCGTCTCGAGAGGTACAAGAAGGCAAGCGATGACAATAAAGCGCGCGCGGTCTTGTTGGGGGAAGCAAAGGTATTTACATCAGAGACTACTGGCTTGGGGGGGAGAAAGCCAGGCCAAGGAGGCAATGACTATCCTTTCTAGGGTAGTCGTACATGGGAAAGAGGGCGCGGATGCCGTCCCTTATATAGGGGTTAGGCGCATGGGAGAAGGAGCACCTTGCCCTCTTCCCTGGCGCCGAGGGAGGAGGCGGCAGGGCGGGGCGAAGGTCTGTACACGGAGGCGCGGCTCTCCCCAGGAGGAGAGGAGAGCCGGGGATCCGACTTCTCAGATGTGGTCACGTGACAACCCGTGACCAATTCTGGGATTTGGGCGGCGAAGGTTACAGAGGTCATATGGCAGCGCGCGTGGCCAGCCTCCAGTCCGAATGATGTAGATGGTTATCATATCTGTCTAACACACAGAATGTCCCAGGTTCGAGTCCTGGTTCGGACAGATCCTTTTTTGCCGGGCGTGTGTCGGTTGCTGTGCGTGTCCCCTTCCCATCTCTCTGTGTATGTCCATCTGCGCCCGGCTCTCCGGGTGCAAGGGGGGGGGCCTGTCGAGAGGTGGCCCTGCGCCGCGCGCATGCGAGCGTCAGGCATATGTCACCCGGGTGTCGGGAGGGGAGGCCGCCGGCAGCATGGGGGACATGTCAGCAGGAGGGCCGGGCGAGGGGGGGGGGGGGGCCGACCGTGGGAGAGGGCCCGGCCGTGCCGGCGGCCCAGGGCAAGCGAGCGGCCCCGAGGAGGGTGAGCTGCCGGAAGAGGGGGCTCCGCTCGAGGCCGGGGGGCCCGCGCGGGTGATGTCCTGCGCCGGGGCCATGCCCAGCGGCCGGATGAAAGAAAGAAACACCGCCGCCTTCCAACCGGGCAGCCCGAATGCCGGGATGGGCCACTGCCCGGTGGCCGGGCCGTGATGCCGGACCTGCCGGCGCGACTGGCCGGTGGACCGTGCCAGGCAGGCACATCATGCTCCGGCTTGGGGGCGCATGGGTGCCGGGCGCCCGGCGTGCGGGGGCCGCACGGCTGCCGGAGCCCGAGGCCAGCAGCAGCGGCCCGCCGGCCCCCAGGTCGGCCGGGGCCGTGACACCGGGGGGGGGGGGGGGGCCGCACGGCGGGCGCTGCAGGTCCGAAGGCCCGCCCAGGCGACCATATCCCCCTCATGTACGCTGGGGAAGACGGCGCCCTGTGGCCGATGGGTGGCACTGTGGCCCGGTGGTCGGGGCTCGACCGGGCCGGGGTCGCGCCAGCCGGGCCATACGGCCCCTCCTGGCCGCTGCTGGCCGCGCCCCGGGCCGGAGCCCGCAAGCCGGCGGTGCTTCCGGGCTTGCTTGTGGCCGGTCGGCACGCGGACCGCCCGGATGCCGGCAGGGGGGGGGCCCGGCGGGCGGGGCGCCGCCCATGCGCCGAGCCGGCCAGATGGCCGTGCGAGGAGCCATGTCTGGCGGGTGGCAGCCGCCCGGCGAGAGGCGCCCCACAGCAGGGGCTCGATGCGGGCACGGCGGTCCCGGCCCACCGGCCGGATGGCGGTCGGCCAGGCCGTGTGATCGCGCGCGCGCACGCGCGCAAGCTGCAGTATCCCCGGGTCGGAGGGGAGACACGAAGAACATCCCCCGGCCCCCTTTGCTCCCCTGGGGCGGCCACGCCCGGCAGGCCAGCCGGCATGGGTCGCGGCCCCGGGAACGCCGGGAGGCCGGCGAGGCTCTCCGCCCGGGCGGGTGGCCAAAGCGCGCACGTTAGGGGCCCTAGGGCCGCCTCCTCCCTCAGTCCGAATGATGTAGATGGTTATCATATCTGTCTAACACACAGAATGTCCCAGGTTCGAGTCCTGGTTCGGACAGTTCCTTCTTTTTGTCGGTCGCCGGAGCGGCGCTTTCTCCTTTTCGGCACCCGGCGTGCGGGCGCCGGGCCGGGCCACGCGGGGCGCAGCAGCGCGAACAAGAATATGAACCACGCCGAGGCGCCGGGGGAGAGGCCCCGGGGCCCACCCGGCGATGCTGGGCCCGCCTCGCCATGCGCGAGCGGCGACATTCTGTGTTCCGCTCCCCGCGCGTCCAATATATGGGGGCCTCCAATATTTATTGGTCGATTGATCCGGCTGCCCACTTCTCGGGGCGCCCATGGGCCAGACTGCCAACGGCCCTGACGGCCGCACGCCGGCGGCCCGCTTTCAGGGGCCATTTGCCCTGGGTCGTCCCTGCCCTCTGCACCCCGGCCCCGGGGCCCCGTGAGAGGCTCCGGGGGAGAGGGCCCGATTGTATGGCGCCGCCTGGGGGGCGGGCCCAGCCCGCGGCCCGGGGCTCCTTGGCAGGGGCTGCCGAGACACGCGTCGGCGGACTTGCACGTCGACCGGCTCTCGGGCGGGGAGGACACGCGGACGATGGCGGGGTGCCCTTCCTGCCTGTGGGTGCTTTGCTCGCATGATGCCCCGCGCCCGGCGGCCGATCCGCCGGCCAGTGTGGCCGCCCATGCGCCGTGAACATGGGCCGGGCCGGCAAGCCCCGCTCCCGGCCCCCGGCTGGGCCCCCGACGGCACGTAGCGCGAGGGACATGCCCTTCCATGGCTCCAAGCCCATTGCCGCCCCGTGATCGCCCCCGACCCCCTTTGCCCACATCGCCCAGCGGGCCGAGGGATGCGTTGCTCGACGGACGGCAGTGGCCCGCCACGAGGCGGCTGGCTGTATTTCGGGCAGCCCCCAGGCGGGCTGCCGGTGCCGGTCGAATCCCGGCCGGAAGGCGGCGATGCCCCTGGACAAGGGGCGGCACAGGCGGCCAGGCCCGCTGCCTCGAGGGGCGTGGAGGGGAGGCCGGAGGCACCGGGCATCCTGCCCGCGCGCGCGCCTCCGAGCCGAGCCCCTACTGTTGGCTGGTCCAGGCGTGCGCGCACTTTTGCCGGAGCGAGGCGGCCAGCGGCCGGCTATGGGGGCTCGAGTCCCAGCCCATGCGGAGCAGGTCGCCAAGTGGCGCGTCGGGGGGGACGGCGGGGCGCTTGCCGGCCACGACGTCCAGCATGATGTGTTCGAAGTTCATGCCTGGGTGTACGGGCCCGCCCCCTCCCCGGGGGCAGGGTGTTAGCCGGCGGTCGTGACATGTGGGCCCATGGGCCGATGGCAGAAGGGGCGGAGGCGGGGATGGGAGCGCACCAGCCCAGGGAACCATGCGCGTGAGGCACTCCCACAGCATGACGGCCGCGGAGTAGATGTCCGCCGGGAGCAGGAGCTCCGGGGCCAGCGGGCGCCGGCGCTGGAAGGCGGCCAGCACCTCCGGCGCCGCGTACCGCGCCGTCATGGCGTTCAGCTCCGGCGCCTGGCTCACCAGGGTGGACGACCGGTCGGTGTTGAGGTTGCGCGAGGTGCCCAGGTCCCCGAGGGCCGCCGTCCAGGAGCCATCCGGGCGCTGGCTGGCAAAGACGTTGCCCGGCTTCAGGTCCCGGTGGGCGATGCCCTGCGTGTGCATGGCCTCCAGCCCGGAGGCCCACTGCTGGCAGATGTCCAAGATGGTGCCCTGGTCCAGGGGAACGTCCGAGTGCAGCAGCGAGGCCAGGTCCGTGTCAAAGCGCTCCATGACGATGGCCGGCGGCTGCTCGCTGTAGCCGTACAGCCGGACGATGTTCGGCGCGTCGCGCAGCAGCCACATCAGCGCCACCTCGTTCTGGAAGAGGGTCACCTGCGCCGGGGTCATGCGCGCGGCCTTCAGTTGCTTGATGGCCACGGTGCCCGGGCAGCCCAGCCGGTCGGAGATGCCGGCCCCGACGGCGCGCGCCGCAAAGACCGACGCCTGGGTCCCGGCGCCCAGCTGCTCGTCCAGCGGCGCGAAGTCGCTGGCGATGCTCACGAGGATGCTGCCCGGGAGCGACAGCTCCAGCATGGTGTTCATGACGGTGGCGTCCTCGTCGTCGTGTTCCTACGGACCGGGCTCGGGTGTCAGTGCAAAGGGCCTCGTGCGGAGGGGCGATGGCCCGCTTGGGGGGGGGGAGGAGGGGGCGCAGCCAGCAAGAGCAGCTGCCCACGGTGGCGGACCTTGGCCGAGGCGCGGCGCTGGCGCAGGAGCCGCCGGAGCAAGAAGAACACCAGCACCGCCAGGAGAAGCAGGAGCAGCAGCCCGCATCCGATGCCCAGGCCGAGCGCTGGGCACGGGGTCCATGTCAGTTGAGGGGCCCGAGGCGTGTGTGCGGGGCGAAAGAAAAAAAAGGGGACCCACGCCCACGCAACGGGCAGAGACGTGAGAGGGGCATACCGAGCCGACGGCGGGCGGGGTTGTCGCCGGAGGCGCAGTCTGCCCCGGTGGGCCCGACGCACGCCCGGCACCGGGGGTCACAGGGGCGGCAGGCAGCCGGGGCGGCCGCCCAGTCGGCGAAGAAGCCCTCCTCCGGGCAGGCGGCCACGCACTTGTCCCGGCCCAAGAGCAGCAGGCCGGGCGCGCACTCGTCACACGACCCGGCCGCCAGGCAGGCGAGCGACCGGTCGGGGGCGGTGGTGCACGCGTCGGCCGCCGGGCCGGCCGTGCACCGGGCACACCCCTGCATGCAATGGAGACACACATGGCCCGAGGTGGTGGGGGCCTGGCCCGGCGGGCAGGCGCCCAGGCAGACCCCCGTGTCCCACTGGAGCCAGAGGCCGGCGTCGGCGCAGGCCGTGCACATGTCGGCCGCGCCGAAGCAGGAGGCGCACACATCCGAGCAGGGCTGGCACAGGGTGGCCCGCGAGTCGGCGTGGAACTCCCCCGCCGGGCAGGCCTCCACGCAGCGGTCCTGGAAAAGGACGAGCCCCGCTTGGCAGGCCGTGCACCGGGCCGAGCACATGTGGCCCGGGACCGGGCCGCCCGGCTGGCAGGAGGTGCAGCCCTCCGGGCAGGGGTCGCACTGGCCCGTGGCCCGGCAGGCCACCCTGCCCGGGGGGCACTGGTCCACGCAGCGGCCCGCGTGCAGGAGCCCCGGCTCGTGGCAGCCGGTGCACTCGGTGGCCAGGGGCCCGGTGCACATGGCGCAGCTTGCATGGCAGGCCTGGCAGGCGGCCTGGCCATCGGCGAAATGCCCCCCGGGGCAGAAGTCCAAGCAGGCCCCCTGGAGGAGGAAGCCCTGCGGCCGGCAGCCGGTGCATTCGGTGCTGCTGGGCCCGGAGCAGCCGGCGCACATGCCGCTGCAGGGGAGGCACATGTGGTCGGACTGGAAGGTCCCGGCCGGGCAGGCGCCATGGCAGGTGCTGTCCAGCTGCAGGGGCGCCGGCGCCGCGCACGACCGGCAGTCGCCGGCCCCCGGCCCGTGGCAGGAGGCACACGCGGCATGGCAGCCGGAGCAGGCGACCCCCAGCGGCCAGCTGCCCGCCGGGCAGGACGCCACGCACGCCGGGCCATCGAGCAGCCACCCGCGCTCGCACTGGCCGCAGGTGGACGCCTCGCCCGGGCAGCTGGCGCAGCGGGCCCCGCAGGGGGCACAGCCGGCGGCCGTCAGCCGGGAGCCCACCGGGCAGGCGGGGACACAGCGCATGGGCGACTGGCCGGCCGGCAGCGGCAGCAGGCCCGCCGGGCAGGCGGTGCAGTCGGTGCTCCGGCTGCCGGTGCAGGCCTCGCACGAGGCATGGCAGGCCAGGCACCGGTCGCCGGCGGCAAAGTGCCCGGCCGCGCAGGCCTGCACGCACTCGGTGTCCTGGAGGATGGCCCCGGTGCAGCGCCAGCAGTCCTTATCGGTTGGGCCGTTGCACGTGGCGCAGGCCGCGTCGCAGGGCAGGCAGGCGCCCCCGGCCGGGTACTGGCCCTCCGGGCAGCCGGACACGCAGGTCCCCACGCCGGGGGCCGCCTCGACGAGCTCCAGCCCCGCGCCGCAGTCGGTGCACTGGTCGGCCGCACCGCCGGCGCACGTCCGGCAGCTGACGTCGCACGGCTGGCACGACTCGCCGTTGCTGAAGAACCCAGCCGGGCAGGCGGCCACGCAGGCGCCGCCGTCGGTCAGCAGCAGCCCGGCCGCGCAGGCCAGGCACCGGGCGTCGGTGCACGCGTGGCAGCCCTCGGCGCAGGCGACGCATGTGCCCCCTGTGTCGGGCTGCGGCTGCGGCGGCGGCGGCCCGAGCCAGCGGAAGCCCGGGGCGCACACCAGGCAGGCGTCGGGCCCGGGGCCGGCGCAGAGCGAGCACGGCGCGCTGCACTCCTCGCACCGGGCAGCGCCGACATGCTGCCCCGGGGGGCAGGTGCTTCCGCACAGGGACCGGGTCTGGGCGTCCGGGCTCAAAAAAACCATGCCCGGCTTGCAGACGGTGCAGGCCGCGTCGTCGTCGCACTCGGCGCAGGACCCCTGGCAGGAGAGGCACCGGCGGGTGGTCGGGCTGAGGAACTCCCCCTGGAGGCAGCCCGAGCAGGAGCCGGGCCCGGTGCAGGCGGCACACCCGACGGCGCAGGCCCGACACACCCCGGCATCGGGCCACATGCCGGCCGGGCAGCCATCGAGGCAGGTCCGCTGGAAGAGAACCCGGCCGGCCGGGCAGCCGAGGCACGCGTCCTCCCGGCCGGCCTCCTCGCACCCGAGGCACGACTCATGGCACTCGAGGCAGTGTGGCGGCTGCTGGCCCGGGCCGGCGCACGACACAATGTCGATGGTCAGCTGCGCCGGCGGGCCGGCCTCATGGCCGGACAGCATGAAGGCCCGGCCGGTGGCCCCGACGAGCGAGCTTGCCCGAGGCGCCAGCAGGTGGCCGGCCGGATGCCGGGGCAGGAACGAGGCGAAGGGCTGGCCGACGGCCGGCCGGGCGGCGCACAGGTCCGTCACGGGGTGGCAGTAGACCGGCGCCACATGGATGCCAGACGGTGTCATGGCCACGAGGGCGCCCGGGACGCCGGGCACCTGCAGGGGAATGGCCTGCACCTGGAAGGCCGGCGGGTGGCCACCGGCCAGGGTGGCCAGGCGCTGGCGCCGGGCAGGCAGCGCATGGGCCCGGGCCCCGACCGGCAGGACCCCCTGGGACAGGTGCAGCGCCTCCCAAAAGACGCGGTTGCTGCCGTCGGCCGATGCGATCAGGCCGGTGACAAAGAGCTCCCCCGGGGAGGCGGCCCGGTGCGGGGTGCGAACCACAACCGGATGCCAGCCGGCCGGCAGGGACAGCCCCGGGTGGAGCAGGCTGCCGCCGGCCATCGTCAAGGCTTGCATTCGGGCCTCCTCCCGGAGGAGCATGGCCTCCGGGGCGGCGCGAAGCTTGCCCCCCGCGATGGGGGCCACGACAAGCCGGTCCCCCGGGCCGAGCCCGACGTTCGGGGTCTCGAGCAGGGCCAGATGATGGATGGCGTGCGATTGCGGCGGGTAGGGCAGCAGCTTGCCGGTGACCATGTCCAGGCGGATGTGCAGCGCACCGTTCCCGGGGGCACGTAGGACACTGGCCGCGTGGGCCTCCAGGCGGGCGATGTGCTCGCACCCGCCGGGGATGGGCTCAGAGCGGAGTTCCACCGGGCACGGGTCCTGGGGCTGGGACCAGCCAGCCGGGCATTGCGTGTGGAAGAGGACCAGCCCGCCGGTGTGGCACACGAGCAGCGCCACGAATGGGCGAGCTTGCGATGCCGGCCACACCCGAAGCTCCATGGCGGAGCGAACATCCAAGTTCGCCAGCGGCCCGAGCTCCCCCAGCGGGATGGCGTCCAATGCGGCGGTCGGGCGGTCATCCCGCAGGTAGACCGGCGAGCCGCCTGCGCGCAGGGAAAGCATGCCCCGCGAGCCGACCGGCACCACGGGCCCCGGGCCGGGCAGCAGCAGCGTGCCGGTGGCCGGGTCCACCTCCAGCGAGGTGGGCACCAGTGTGCCGACCTCCTCGCCCGGGGCCAGCCCCCGGACCGGCGACTCGGCCAGCCGAAGGTAAACGCCCAAATGGGAGGTCGCTTCGGATGCAAGGCACAGCACCCCATCATCGATGGTCCCCTCGGGGCAGGCCGGGTCGCCGATGCAGGATACCTGGCCATCTCGCTGGAGGATGGTGCGGAAGCCCTCCAGGCAGGCCAGGCAGCCGTGTTGCAGGTTGCACACGGCGCAATTGGGGTCGGGGCATTTGGTGCACTCGACGCCTGGATGCCCGGCAAGGGGGGGAGGGGGGACATCCCCGGAGGCCATGGTTGTGGCGGTGTGTGTGTGTGTATACCACAGGACATGAAATGCCACGGGTGGAGGGGGGAAGGGCGGATGAGCATCAGGGCCGTTAGTGAGGGGCCCCCAGGGGCAAGGGACGCGGGCGGGCGGGTGGGCGGGCGGGCGGGCGGGCAGGCGGGCGGGCAGGCGGACAGGCGGGCGGGCGGGCGGGCGGGGTGGGAGCCTCGGCGACCGGCCGGCCGGCCGGCCGGCTGGCGAGAGAGGCGCACCGGTGGGCAAATACTCGGCACCCCAGCCCGGGCTGCAGGCGTCGCACAGACGGCCGCGGGTGCCGAAAAGCGACTGCGCGTGCCCCGTCTTGCACGCCCAGCCATCGGGGCTGCTCGGGGAGCAGACGATCGTCTCGTCGCCCGACGGGCCGCAGCCAAAGTCCGAGCCGTCGAAGTAGACGTAGGACCGATCGGCCAGGGCGATGGTCCAGGCTTGGGAGGACCGCCGGAGCTGCATCACCTGCAGGGTCGGGGCATTGGCCAGGGCATTGGCCGCCAGGGCCACTGGCCGCATGCCCAGCAGCTGGGCATCCGCATCGAAGTCCATGCGCCAAAGGGCATCTCCGCTGGGTGTCAGAGTTTCATGGAAGAAAGCCCTGTTCACCGGGGTGTCGGTCTGGTAGCCGGCCACGGCCAGGATGCGGCCCCGCACGGGAGCCGGGTGTTTGTGGATGACCCGGAAGTCGGTCTGGGCAGTGAGCCCATGGCACTGGGTGCACAGGGCCCACTCGCCATTGCCATAGAGAACCAGCAGGTCATCCATGGAGCCATTGGTATTGGGGTGTATACGAACGGCCTCCAGGCTGATGATGGTGTATGGAAGGGCCAGGTACCGGGCGGCGGGGCTGGCTGGATTGTCGAAGGTCACACGGGCAATGTGGTTCCCTTGCCACAGGAAGATCGCGTGCTGGGACCCGCGCACGCCGCGCACGCCGGCGTACGTGAAGTGACTGAGCTGGAGGCCGAAACTCGTCGGGGGGGCGTCCCTCGCAAGCACCAGCAGCGAAGGAACGTCGCTGGAACTCATCATGATGGCGAAGACCTTCTCCGGGGAATCGGCCACCATGGCCAGTGCACGTGTGGGGGTGGTGTGTTCATGCGACGTGCTGTCCGAATCGGCCAGCACCAGTCGCATGACGTTTTCCGAAACTTCCAACAGGGCCGGCTTTGGTTGGAATAGGCTCGGCACAAAGCGCGTCGTGCCCAGGCTCAGGGCAAAAGGCGACGAGATGGAGTCGATCGGGTGTGCCTCGCTGAAATAGCAGCCGGCCCGCCACTCCGGGGCCGTGGTGAAGTCGACAAGTGCCTGGGAGAATAGCTGCGCACTGTCGGCGGCCTGGCCAATGATGGCGATCGAAGTTTCCTTGGCAAGCAGCGTGTTCACGGTGTGGAATGAGACACCGCCAAAAAGTGGCACCGGGGCGCGGGGAAACTGCAATTCCGGCGGGTCGGCCGAGCTCACCACCGGGGCCCGGTCCATCGGGGCCACCGGTGGAGTGTGTCCAGGGGAGGAGGCCTGCCGGCCTGAGGCGGGAGACTGCAGCAGAGCCAGCAGCGACAGGAGGAGCAGCAGGACGAGGCCCGGCGGTGGGCGTGGGGGCGACCGCCCCGCGCAGGACGGTCCGGCGCAGAGGGACATCGCGAGGGCGACTGGCGAGCGCGCAAAGCGGCGGGGGGGGGGGGGGGGGCAAGAGGCAATCCGGCTGAGACGCATGTTGAGCCGGGGGAGGGGAGGAATGTGGTGGCCTGGGTGGCATTTTGTTTGCTGCCAGGCTCCGGCGCATGGAAATACATGTGCATTCATGCGCAGACACCGGCACATACACACATACACACAGGCACAAGCACAAGCACAAGCACAAACGCAAGCACAAGCACAAACACAAACACAAATACAAGCACAAGCACAAGCACAAACACAGACACAAATACAAGCACACACACACACACACACACACACTCGGCGTGGCTCACAGCACCACCCGCACCAAGCGCCGGGCGGGATGGCGTGGTATGACCCCGCCGCAGAGACCGCCAGAAAACCGAACCGGACGGGATGAAAGCGCATCCGGCATGGGGAGATTCCCCATGCCAAGCCCCCAGGACTGGTAGGATGTTCCAAAGCTGTTGACGCCTGCCACACAAATCGTGGGCCGGGCGCCGGTGTGGGTCAGTTTCACCCGGGTCCACCTGTGATGCGCCACATGTGATCCGCCCCAGTTGGTGGTGCTCCCCTGACCGCGCCTGCCCCTCGGCAGGGTATTACGGCTCTCAGGAATGCATGCCGGCCGGGGAACGGGGCGGCACCATGCCGTTGGAATGCCGGCCAGGGCCAGCCGGCTGCCAACGATCTGGGCCTCCCGCATGCCGCCCGAGCCCCGCGCTTCGGTTGGCCGTCGGCCGCGGGCACACCTGCCTGATGCCGGCGCCGTGCGTCGTGCGCGCGTCCCATCTCGGGGGGGGGGGGGGGGTACATGCGGGCGCGCGCGCGCGCGGACGCAGCGAGATGCACACCCGAACCGGGGATGTGGGCTGGCACAGCCCTGTCGCAGGAAAGGTGGATATTTTTATTCCCTCCTGCAGGGGGGGGGGGGGGGGGG